TAGCGAGGAATATCAGAAACATCTCAAATGTGTAAATCTAAGCAGGCAGTATTTTTGAGCATGGCTTTATTGTAGTATTATAGACATGTTTACGCAGAACGGAACTTGAAATGTTTTCAAATTATGTCACTCAGTCACGTGCCTTCCGGCCGGAAAACCGGCCCAAATGGAACAATATGGCAATTACTAGTTACCTGCGTCCTACCTACCATTCGCAAAGGACGCCGGGAACCAGCGAAGTTTTGAGGTAGTCCAAAACGAGTTTTACAACAAGTCGGCGCTTTGCGACAATATGAGTCGGCAAGTTCCGGACAGAAAACCGATCTGTGGAGACTCGTCGTAGGAGATTTTTTTTTTTTTTTTTTTGAGAACAGGCGAAAACTAATGCGCGCGCGGATGTCATCCATAAAATTAAATCGGTGTAGCCTTATTGCCACTAAAAACTGTGTAGAGAAGTTTATTTCTATACCTATTCTGTTATTGGCACTTCATATTAAGAATAACTAGTGTTTGTTTGTTTGAACAAGTGTAATGGGCTTTCAACGTTGTTCCGTGCAAACAATGGGTATACGTGGCGTACACGGTCCTACTCGTGTTTTACAAGTTAACAAAATATACAATGTTTACACTAAATTTGCTACAAAATACGTTTGAAATATTAGCTATCCTCTTACCGAAAGTGAATTCATAAATGTGGAAAGTAGATGGGGAAGTACTGCACGGGTTGTCGTCCCTCAGTGGTTTCAAAGCGATGTTCACGCCGCAAATCTCAGTGACCAACTGACTGGATGTCAAGTTGAGCACCACTGCGCATGCGCAAAGTAAATTACAAGGCTAATTAGAATGTGAATACATTTGACCTGTCACATAGGTAATAATAATATTGCCTATTTACCTAATTTATTACCGGCATACATGCTGTTAAGACCATACCTAATGATACTGACTGATTCCATGTGTTTAATACTAGTAATTACATGTACACTCTTACTTTGTGTGTAGGTTTGGTATTTAAAGTGGATGAACATGGCAAGCTACCACCGCATGTTATCTACAAAATCCGACAAAACAGTAGTTTTACGGATAATACTAACTTGGTGAGAGAAAAGTACTGGACACCTGGACCAAACCATGCACGATCTGTCCGGTATTACCAGTTCGCATTTGTACTCATACAGGACATCATAGAAAGAGCTATCATTGATAAAAGAGTCAATAGAACTGTGGTGGAACCTGGTAGTTATGTGCAAGAATTCCCTTACCCATGTTACATACAGGACAGGTAAATTTATTATGGGGAAAATTTGCATGCTATACTTTGCGTGGTTTGCAGTATATAAATGTGAATGGATTTTATAATTCACATGTTATAATATTATTTTGGGAAGAGATGAGTAGGATTGTAATTTAAGTACAAGGGTTTCCAAAACCCTATTATAAACCAGATAGATGATACTAAAAAATACTTTATTTTAGCTGGAATTAATTTTCGCTGAAAAAGGGTGTTTTGTATGGAATTTATTTTCATAGATTTTTGGTTGAATGTAAAATATAGGAAAGAAGGTATATTTGTTGGATTCTATTTTCACTGAGTCATTCTTTCAGCAAAAATAGCAAAAATGAATTCCAAGTAAAAATAAAGTATTTTACTGTAGCTTATTTACTGTTTACTATGAGATAACATATGAAATTGAACGTGAAACAGGACAAAGCTCATAGTAACGTCAAAACTTTGCATGAGATTCAACAAGTGTGAAGGTATTTTGGGGGTATTTCCATGCTTGATAATGTGATGTACACATATGATGATGGTAAATTTTGCTGAAGTAAGGGTATCTTAAGGCAATATTCCATTCTCTGAAAGATCGACGAGTTCTAAAAAGCAATTTCAAACTCAAATTATTTAATTTTTGCAGCGACATTATGCAATATGTGAGATCTTGTAGTAAATGGAAAATTACCTATTAGATGAGAAAATGGATCAGACATGTAGTCCTACACTTTGAATAATAATTTACCTGACTGTATAAAGTCAATGCAAATACGGTAAAATCTGTATTAGAAGCCGCATCCCTAATAGAAGCCACACCCATTCTTTTTGAACAACTGATAACCAAAAATTCA